CGAAGTCTACAGTAAAAACGAATCATTATAATCCCTGACTTAAAAAATATTTAAAAAAAGTTATAATATTTTTTACAAGATATGTAGAATAAAGTATTACACCTTTTAAAAAGATATAAGAAAATTTTGTCGTATACAAGAAACTTACAATTCCTGGAGAGATTCTAGGTGGTACAAGCGGCGGCGCTCCAAGAAAACTTTGACCATTTTTTCCTATAAAAATATGAAAGTTTATAGCATAAGATTTCGGTTTCGTAATTGCAGTATCGTGAAGTACAGATAATGATATATACCTAATTTATTAAGATCGAGACTAGAGCTGCGCGCATGTGTTCTGTACGGTCTGGGTGGTGGTGGAGGTGGTGGTTCCTTTTTAGGTGTCACGATGACAGCATCTTCGGGAGCTGCGGATGGTTTCTTTGCGAGAGGTCGTTGCACTAACGACGCTGCAGAATGTTGCAAATCGTCATCTCCTAAGGTTGTACAGCTGCTACTGCTGCCGTTAGCACCCGAAGCAAGAATCGCTGCTTCAGGCGTTAAGCGCAACGGTACTGGATGTAAGATCTTCGGATCGCGTTCGACGGCTGATTTTTGGAAATCGAAATTCACCAGCTGCAATCCTGGACTAGTGACTGAGGAGCTGCTCGCTCCAGTTGGCGAGTCCACGAATTTTGTCCATTCCCTATTCTTTTCGCGAGCGTTTGCCGAGTTTGGTGGTGATTTTTGAGCAGTTGTCGCCGGTGGAATTTGCGGCGCGGCAGTTGTTGTTTGCATGACTAACAGGATCGACAAGGACGAAGGTAAAACGTCGGGCAGAGGCACATGGTTCCTCCTCAGTACAACGAGATGCATTGCCACGTAGAATTCCTGTAAACTGAGTGCCCCGTCCCTCGTGACATCCGCGAGCTGCCAAATACGTCGTAACTCCGAAACGGGAAGCCGTGATTTTTCAAAAAATGTTCTGGCTACAGGCCCGGCTAGAAGACCCTCCGGATCAGGCTGCAACTGTGCGAATTGTGCAGCGTAATAATCACGCTGCTCATCGCTGATGATCCATACTTCCTCCGGTGGAAAACCAGAACCATCGCCTTCCCCGTCACCTTCGTCGCTACTGTGACGCTCCGAGCTCTCCTCTTCAGTGCCTAACAGTTGTCTCTGCTCTTCGGAAACTAATAAGCCTTGCCAACCTCCGGAAACGGAATCCAGGATTGTCTCGCCACCCAGCATACCGTCATTTCTCTCTTGAGTCACGCTATTCGTCGGTGTAGGAGAATCTGTACTGCCACCAGTCTCACGTGGGGACTCTGCTTCGCTTTCACTCTCGGTAGTGCTCTCAGGAGCATGATGTCTACCCTTTGCTCCTCTAGTTATATCTGGACTCCTTCTGCCTTCCTCATCACCGGAGGTTGGCCACGTAAATCTTGGCAAAGTAATAACATCCAAAGATGCAATTATCATATCTCTGGAGATCTCCAGACCAGCCTGGTGAACCGCGATGAGTTTCAGCACTGCATAGAATTGCTTTTTGCCTAGATGCGTGTTACCTTTGGTTCCCATGCAGATGTCCAATATCTACAAGTAGAAAAAATATATACTCAATGTTAACAAATATATAGCCATACATAACCGAGTTTCTATGGAATGCTTCATTTTCATCTTATTTTCTTTATCTTCCATTCTGACAATTAACTGTCTAATGGCAACGATAGCAGCTTCCCAAGTAGAACACAGAAGTCATGAAGACATCATTATGACCTCATTCGTCACTTATAAGTCAATTTTTAGGTATCAAATGACGTCATGATGATACCATTATGACTTAATTATGACTCTGTATTCTACCTGGGCTACTTTCCATTAAAACTAACATACACTAGTTATATTACAAGAAACACATAATCCTTAGGACGTTCAAAGAACATAGAAACATTTGGATATCCCTTGGAGATCCGTATCGTACAGGAAGAAACTCCCAAAGCTACAGACAGTTATAAATGATTATGGAAAGCAAAAGAAATAATATTTTCCATCGTCGAATTAATCGGTTCAGCTGCTACGACATAACCTCCAAGCGGACCTTAATGTTTCGTCTGTCCATCTGCACATATGTCGCCTCGGTGCGAGAAGCTCTCGAATACCGAGATAAAGTCTGTTACGGCGCAACGTCGATGTCAGGGAAACGTCAATGTCGCACTTCCACCGTGCCACGGAGCTCACCTTCATCGTGACGTCCCGCGGCAGGTTGGCTGAACGCAACAATTCGGCGACTTTGATCACGGGAACGCTGTCGCTGTCCGCGTTCTCGCAGCAGTAGATGAATATATCGCCGTAATAACGATGCTCGGTCGCGGTCAGATGCAGACTCGCCATCGTCAACAACTCCCAATCCATCTTGACAGCCTGGCGCGTTCGCGCGGCCGAGAACGGTGCTCGTTCCCGGGCCTCGGTCGTCCCGGCTGCCGCGCGTCGTCGATCGTCCCGGGGCAGGCCGCTTTCCTTCTCCCGCAGCGCTCACTCGCGAATCTGCTTCACGCTCTGCTTCTCGGCGATCCGCAGCGGTCGCATCTCTCTCGCGGTTCTCCGCTGGAGAACGCAAGGAACGTCGTTCGCTAGCTGCTACGCCTGCGACTCCGTTCGAGTGATTATCACTATCTCCGGCTGACTGGCTGACGCGATCGTGATGTTCGTGATGTTTGACATTACCATAATCCGTGTCGACTAACTCGCCCCGTAAGAAGTGTCAACTTCTGAGCGGTGGTGCGTGCGTAGTAACTTCGTATTTATGATAGATACGTATTTATAGAATGATAAACAGGGTTGGTAAAAAACATGTTTTAAAGGTGTTTTAAACAGCACCGATTGTTGCGGAAAATTTTTAGAAATGTTTCAGTCTTTCACATCTCATGTGCAACAATTCTGAAAGTATTCTGCAATATGTTATATGAAATGGTTAAACAGAAATGTTTCTAAAATCTATCATATACAATAAATTGAAAATCATATTTAAACAGAACAAAAAATCATCATGATGTTAAAATGGCTCCAAAATGTTTAAGTCATTTTTTGATCAATCACGATTCAGTTTAATGTCATTTTGATGTTATCGTGAGTTGTTCTACTTTAATTTCGAAAAACTTTTGTATATAAATAATGATATTGTGTGGAAACTGCAGGTGTAAGTGACTTTCTATTTTTCTAATAATGATTATGTATATATGTGTTTATACATATAATGTGATTAATTAATCAAAATAGTTGGCAATATAATTATCATTTTTGAGAAATACTTTAAATTTATTTCAGTAAGTTTGTAATCTGTAAACAGATTACAAAACTCTTAATAAATTTTAAGTACTTCAGAAATGATATTTCAATATATATATTTAATTGATACTTAAATAATATTTAAATTTATTACGTCGACATAAATTTAAATATTATTTAAGTAAATTTAAATATTATTTAAGTATCAATTAAGTATATATTTAAATATCATTTTTGATGTATTAAAAATAGCTGAAAACTTTTTGGTAATATTTCAAAAAAATTGCAGAGTCTTTCTGTAACATTTCATCAATCTTTCAACAAGGGATGCGTTCCGAGTCACACATGAAGCGCATGATGTATATCGGTGTATCCTTTTTTATTAATTGATAAACAATAAAAACAAATGATGCATCATGCGCTTCATGCGTAACTCAGAACGCACTCAAGATTTTATGTGCGAGAATCGCGGACATTTTGTTATTTCAGAGCTGTCTCAGAAATTTTGCAGACATATTTCGCAATTTTTATGAAATGTTTCACTTTTCAATTGAAATATTTACGCACTCAAGATTTTATGTGCGAGAATCGCGGACATTTTGTTATTTCAGAGCTGTCTCAGAAATTTTGCAGACATATTTCGCAATTTTTATGAAATGTTTCACTTTTCAATTGAAATATTTCTGAAAACTTTCGGTGCTGTATGGGAATTAATTGATGTTTTTAATATGTTTTAAATGTTTTTATTACTGTTTAAAGCATATTTGAAGCGTATTAAAAACATTTAAAATTAAGAAGAAACACAATATCTTAAAAAAAATATTTATAGTGTGTGTCTTTGCCAATATTAATCTTTATCAACATTAGTCTTTATCACTGATAAAAGAAAATTTGACCACAAAGTTTTGTGTTTAATAAAATATTAGTATATGGGTATATTTACAAAAAAAAACAAACTATTATTACAGTTAAATCTTATTATAAATATAATACCAAAAATAATAATTAACATTTAAAATAGGTATTTTTAGCTTTGATGCAAGCTTCAAAGCTTTTCGGGAATGCATCACAATGGTTGTGCATCGTTTCGTGAATAAATTCTCCCAGGTAGTCAATAAAGCAATCTTCACTAACCGATGAAAATCTTTTGATGCAGAATCTTTTTGGTATTTGGCTGCTTTCCTTTTAAGAGACACAGTTGACACAAATGTCGTTCTGTATATCTTTATTATTCATTGAATTATGAAGCCAAGAAGGATGAGGAATAACGAAAGCAGCCTTAATAAAATGTAATTAACTCGAGTTTGTTTTTTTTTTTAAATATACATTGATTACTACTACAGACTTCTATATTAGGTTACTATATAATAATTTGATAAATACAAAACTTTGTGATCAAACTTTCTTAATTGCTTGGACATATCATTGTTAATAAAAAAAATGACACAAATAAAATAATTGGCATTTTTGAAATAATTAAAAGAAAATCGACTCAAAAATCTTTAAGCTTCGACTCTGTATGTGTCAATCCGTGTCTCTTCAGCTTCATTACTTGAATCTCGAATCTCGAAAACGAACTGCTGAGCTTCGTGAAGTAAAATCTGTATAATACTTTCAATATTTTGCTTTATATCTGTATAATACTTTCATTAATTTTATTTACACATTATGTAGTAAGATTGCAAACAAAAGACTTAGAACAAAATTTAGACAATAATATTAATTCAGACTGGTCAGCAAAATATATTTTATGATTCATATCACTCTGATCTAACGATATAACTGATTTAACTTCAATGCTGAACACGAGCATCGAAGTTAAAAGATCGAATTGTTTTATAAGTAATAGCCGTAACAATGAACGTGGAAATTACATATTATATCGCTGATACTTTGCTATCGCACACTACTTTCTTTTTCATATAAAAATAAATTCGATACTGTCCGACGATTGTTCGTATTTAATACAGTTTTTCTTCCTTTACTAAGATATCGCTACAAAATTGAGATTGTTATCAGCAGACGGAACACACGCGCATTTTCCATAGTTAATAAAACCATTCGGAGAAAAAAAATTAAACGAGTAGTTTATAGCCATCGGACAGCGATTCCGATCTTCGAGAATGGAAAAAAGAAAACACCTATGGCATCATTAATTGTACAAAATGGCTCGTGACTAGAAGAAGTTTTTACGCACAATATTCTGTAAAGAACATTATTTTCGCTAATAGTTTTGCTGCAATAATTTAATTTAGAGTTTTCATTTCGATGAAAAGCAACAGTCAGTAGAGCGAAGAATCCTCCGCGATAATCGATATACTTTTCTTCGTGCTATCGTAACGTCCGGCGATCAATTTCTGTCCAGATGTCTTAAATCGCAGCATAGATGAATCTTCTCCTGGACTGCCGGTAATATTGTCAAAATCCAAATTACCGAAATGTTCTTCGAGTAAGTCCTCCAACTTCTTTGAGAGCACCTCAATCTTCTTCATTTGTTCATCATCGTGCTGCAAAAAAACATTTATTTTCTGAGACTCTAATTGAAATCTATGGGAATTAAGTAAAATCGAGAAAAATTCGCCTTTCAAAATTAAATTTCTTTTTAAAAATTCAAATATTAAATTCAATCTAGTTTTGAAAATTAAATGATGCAATTTCAGGCATTGATTTATTGCATCATATGATTTTTATATAATAATTACACATCATTCTTATCATGTGATTTGTATTAAGGAAATAAATGGGATACAAAAAAATTGTCTATTTTTAACTACAAACCTGATGATCTACTTTCGCGTTGTTAATAATACGACGAAAATCTTGTACAGCGTGTTCGATTTTATGATAAATCCGATTTTTCAGCTTGTACTCGATAAGCTCAAGAAATATCGGACTCTTAACAATCTTGCAGTAATCTTCCATCTGAAAATTAAAAAAATTATTTCATCAAATATTATATATATTTTTATATTTTTTTTTCTTTCTCTCTCTTTGAAACTAACTATTAATGCGGATGAAAACTGGCCGTCCTTATTGTCGTACGAGAGTGTATATTTGATAATCTTCGCCTCGTCCATCTGCCAGATAGTTCGATGAATCGTCTCTAACTTATTGAATATCAGAGGACTGAGGCTCTGTTTTCTCCTGGAACTGCACCACACCGTCCAGCCACGGTCGCCCGATTTGCTGGCACACTTGCCTTCCAAATGTTCCAAGTCCTTCTTCTTCCTATGATTTGTTTTCATGGTAGTTAACATATTATTTACCTTGACAGTGCCGACTTTCATGCACGATCCTTCCTCCAATTGCAGATCGTTGCTATCCGCATTTTTCATCGTTTTCTTGTCGGCCGATTTTCGTGATTTGTGTAGAAGTTGATAGGATTGTACGGGGTCGTTCCTCTGACACTTGCGGCCAGGAATTGGTATTACGGTGGTTACCGATGAATTAGTCGCGCACGACTTCAACGGCTCTTTCTTTTCAAGGTGTAGGTTGTTTGTTTTCATGGATCTTCGTACCGTTTCAGAATACGTGGCTCTTCCATTGTCGACGTTTCGTCGTTCTTCGCGAAAGAACTAGAAACATGCTCACGAGAGAGGATCGCTGGATATTCGCTATCGATGATTGTCGCATGAGTTTTTGTATCTGCATCCGCGGTTAACGACGATGTGAGCTGATCCGGTTTTACGTCAATTTCCGAGCTATTCGAAGACTCTAAACTTCGTCGATCTACGTCGTCCTTATGTCGCTTCTGCTTGCCGACGATACTCGCGTTATTGAGAGTCCTGATCAGCCAGGAATCCGTTTTCACGTTGGTCTTGATGCCGAGAGCTGTTGAACATGCTTTTTAGAAAAGGATTGTTTTGCTTATTACTAGGTACCACCTGCAAAAAGATCGCGAGACATTTTTAAGTAGTTTCGATAATCCGGGTAACGAAATACACGTAAAATCCTCGCGAGAAGGTTTATTATTTCAATATAATGCTTTACTCTTTATTCTAATAAAGTATAGTGTTAATTAATTCTTTCTCTGGCAAAATCTTTTCTCAGAATTTTAATATGAATTGGAACTTTTTTTAGAAAAGTTTCTACGTTTTTCTTGGAATTTTTTATATATGTGAATTCTGAAATATTCAAAGATTTCTTAGATCTTTTTAATTTCTCAAAAAGTAAACTTAAATTTTTTTTGATTTGATAAGATTTTATCAGAAAATTACAGAAATAAGAAATCTTAAAAATCTTAGAATATTTCACTGAAATGTATAAAGAATTCTAGATAAGATGTGTAGACTTTGTCAGCACTTCTGAAAAGTTCCAATTTGTATAAAAAAGTGAGAAATTTTCTTCAAAGTTACAAAATTATTCAAAAATTTGGAAATTTATATAATTTTAAAAATACATTGTATGAAAAATTCAGAGAAAAATTTTCACCAGAATTATCTAAAAAATATATTAAGAAAAAAAATATTTTATAAAGTTCTTTACCATTCTCATCCTCGCGCGACTGAGACACTGAAACTACACTCATGCTAGGCGATAATCTACACGTGGACTCCGAATCATCCTCTGAGGCTTCATAGGAAGACGCACAGTCAGCGTTATCATCCTTCAACGATTTTGGATCACTCTGCTGCGACACGATTGTCAATACTTCAGCAGGAATCTTCCTTCTCGCTGTTACTATCGTTGTAATCGATGTTTTTAGACGTATTACCACAATCCTTTACGTTAAGGGCTTCAAGAAGTATCTCAGCCGAGGCGCACGCTGCTTTCCAGGTGACGTCCTGACGAGTATCCTGGGACAGAGATTCTGTGCGTTTCAAGATTCTAGGTGAACTCTCAAGATTGAACAGAGGCACGGGTAACTGCGAAGCTGGTGGGAACGAAGTCTTTATCAGCGTGGTGTTGCCGATGTTGGTGGACAAGGTTGACGCGTTCGCGTGAGATAGAGGCGTCGATGATGCTATCGGTACACTTTTTCCATTATTACCACACACACTGTGATGACTGCTCGCGTGTACATTGCGAGACGCGCTGTTGCTTGATCGACGATTGGGTCTTCTCTGATGTCTCTTTTTCGGTACGTTGTAGCTGCCCGGTTTCATGTACACTCGCACGTCCTCAGAGCTGTCATACTCTTCAGGCGCTTGTTGCACGTGGAAACGATTTCCGATAAAGTTGCCAGCAGCCCAAGGTGTGCTCTGGATATTCGGCAGATTTTGCAATGCCTGGAACTGCCGATTTGCGTCAAACTGCGGTTGCTTGGCTATAATCATCGAGTATTTGGGCATCTCCTGAATAAATAATCGCGGTACCGAGTTCTCGGCCGTTTTTGGCTCCTCAAAGGTCGACTTGGCCTCTGGAGGCTGTGCGTTTCGCATGCTGGCGAACCAGGCCGACAAGTTGGCTGCCATTTCCTCGGACTCCTTGTCAAATGTCCGTGGCTCGATCTGACTAAGCAGGGTCACCTTATTTCTAGGTACAGCCGGGAGTTCTAGTTGCTCAGTTTGCGATTTGACATAAACCGGATTGATATTTGCGTTTTTAACTCCGTAAACCGGTTCGGTGTTATTGCTGCTTCTCGAATTGATATCGGTATTAGGATAAAGCCCGAAAGAGGGATAATTAACTCTACACGTTGGGATTCCCGAATTGGGAGTAGAATACGAAGAGTCTGAATGACTGGATAAAGGAAACGTGAAGGATAAACAATTCCGCGCATACAGTCCGCTGTAGCTCATAGGAGCGTTCGTTGCTGGATGTTGAGGCCGGACGGATTCGATGTTATCGATCAATGTCGTAAGCTTATCTTCCGTCGTGTAATCGTGTCTTCTATCTATCGTTACGTCCGCGCTGCTTTCCATTATTTTGTTTCTCAGCTGGCAGAATTCGGCGTTCAGCGATTTCTGAGTGAAATCAAATTTCTTGGATGATGGTGCGTCTTTCGTGCGAAGTTTATGACTTCCTAGGTTGCCGATGTCAGAATGACACACGGAGACGTTCGGCATAGACTTTGTGGTGTTAATCATGGACGATAAATTCTCAGTAATCGTCCATTTGCTCCGCAATTTGCTTTCTTTAGAATTCGTCGATTGTTGTTCCTATCGTTGGTAACGATGTCGATGTCGTGCTGCATGGTTTTTCCAGCGAAGATTTTCCAAGATTTTGTTGAGAAAGAGAGCTCGAAGACAGTGGGACGAAAAGATTGTAGATCGTATAAAGCGACACGTCGCCTGGAAATGACGATGTCATGTTGCGTTTCTGGTCCATCACCTCTTTGTTTTCTCCGAACTTCTGAAAAGTCCGCACTATTTGCTTCAGTAATTCGCACGTGCTCTCTTCCCATGTTTGGAAGCGCGCGATCAACTCAGGATCTAATCTGTCCAACAAATTGGGAAAATGCTGTTTGTTCAGATAGTTATCAAGGCTCAGCCATCCATTGCTAATGCGTAGAAGAGCGTTTATGAGATCGTCGGCAAAAACTCGATCCCCCGCAAAGACCGGGATGCAAGTCGAGGATTTCGTGATCGCCGTCCTGGTGGCAGATGACAGACAAGTTAACCAGCTCCGTTTAGAATCCGTTTGCAAATCTTCAGAATCGAGAACACTTTCAGCCTGCGTGCATCCCCAGTAAGCTGTTTTTCGAATCAGCTCTGGATACTGCGATCTGTCGACGTTCGAATCGTCCGTTTGAACGCCTATCGACCTTCTGTTTTCGTACTCGGAGCAGAAATCTATAAACCAGTTCGTCTTATTAGACATATTGTCGCCTGCACCGTTAAACAACGTAGAATCAATCTTGTTGCCAAGCTTCGATTCCTCCTTGCCTAAATCGTTCGAAGACGTGGTGTTACACAGAGCGGAGACCATCTTCTCAGCTTCGATGGTAAAGTCAAAGCTATTCGAAGACTCATCAGAGTAATGTTCCTCGTCCGTCTTCGCGACGACAGAGAGAGATTTCTGCAAAGTACCCTCGACAGACTCGAGGTTCCTGTTATTTCCTGCGACAGTTTGCGCGTCGTTCTTGGAAAACATCTCGGTTTGGGAAGGCCAGCCATTCTCGCTCTGACCGGTTTGAACGATTTGAGACTCGCAGGCGCTCGATGTCTTGTCTGCGTTATGTTTGAACGGTGCGAAATCCAACGTGGATGAAGGCTTGTCTCCTCGCGGTGGTGCAAGCATTAAACCAACAGGCGGATTCGAGAAGAGTGGAGAGGACTGCACTGTTACTGGAAATTGATTGTTGTTGAAGCTAGCTAGGCCGGTGTAAGGATTGAGATTGGCAAGCGGAAAGGACGAGTTGCTGTTGACGGTTTGCAGACTGCAAGTATTTGTGGCCGAGATATTATAGTAGGAATTCTGCATCGGATGCTGTTGCTGCTGCTGTTGCTGTTGCTGAATGTTCTGTCGATCTTGGATGAGACAGAGAGTCTGCATATCGGGCGGCTTAAAATTGAAGGGCTGCGGTAACAGATGCGTCACTCCAGAATTGTTACTGTAATGCTCGTTGTGCAATGGTCCAGCATGGGTGAACGTGGATGATGCTACTAAAAAGGATGTGGTCGACGGAGGGATCGATGCAACGCTGGTGGACGGTTGATCGAAAAGTACTACAGGTTTTGGATTGTACGAGAGTTGCTGTTGCTGTTGCTGCTGCTGACAGTATTGCTGACCGCGGGACGGCTTGTTCTTGGCGTGCCATCGGTTGTTTTTACCTGCATTCGCGCAGAATATTTTAATTATCATTCTCGATTTACATAACATCGTTAAAGTTTGCAATTTTTTTATTACTTTCAAAATGCCGTTTTATTACTGAGAGACTGTTTTATGAAACAGAATTGAAAAGAATGGAGAAAGAAGGAACTGATTTATATACGAGATTAATTCGAACTACAGTCTATCTTTCAGACCTTGAAGTTGTAAATGGGCGGAATTCGATGAAATAACGTGAGACTGAACGCTTGGATAAACGCACGAAGGATGAAGTGCTGTTCCACACGGTTGAAGAGTCACCATTGGGCTACTGACGGGAGCATATAGAATTTGTTGTTGCTGCTGCTGTTGATGATGATAAATGGACGACGTTGTCGATGGGCTTGGGATCGAGGATGACTTGAGATGATGTACGGACGATCGATTTGAACGCGCGGCCGTCGGGCGCATGATCCGTTTGGTCCTTAAATCAAAATTGAATCCTCCACCGTCTCCGAGTCGATGTTAGCAGCTTCTATTAAACGACAGAATCTGTCATGTTATCGATATCGCAATGTAATTATCTGAGATATTTATCACGAATTATTCAATCTTCTAGAAGCTATCTAGAAGCAATTGGTTACGTTCTTCGCATTCACACGTCAAATTATATCACTTCGTTATATTAACTTCGCGTCGATATTGTATTATATATTTAACTTTGTGAAAAAATAATTATTTACTTGAATAAGGCCATAACGCTGTTGTGATAATATATATTGCCACCAAAATACATCACATTAAATGTAATAAAGTTAAGATAATGATAATTAAAAAATCCTTATATATATTTTTTTGAACTCATAGTGATAGTCGTTTATCTAATCGAGATGAACATAGCCGCTATACCAGCTGTTGATTGAAGTTCATTTAACTTCTTATTGAAAAGAGAATTTTACAAATTTATAAAAAAAATTATTTTTATTCTACAATGTTTTAAATAAACAAATAGTTAACATATAAAATAATACTCTATAATCTAATATACTATTTTACGGTAATATCGATTCTCGGTAAGAGTAGCATACTGTAAGATATGTTAGATTATTATGAATAATCAAAACAATTTTTGTTATTTAAAAAAGATAAATCGTAATAAGAATCCAAAACAAATGTTATATAATTTAATATTGTTAACGTTTTATCATTTCATAAACGGTAGGATAAGCATACATGTACGATGTCCCACAAGAAAAGTACAAAACAGACTAACAGATGGCTCTTCCAGGTAAATTTCGTGCAATTCTAAAAAACGATCGAAAACTCGGCAAATAGTTGCGATATGCATAAATGCTACTGTGTACATACAAGAATCACGAAATAGAACTTAGGTAATGTATAAATTTATATAAATATAATTTATTTAAAAAAAATATGTTATTAGCCTGTTAAAAATATTTGATAGAATTTTTTAAATTTTTAATTAAATAGAATTTTTTATTAAATAGAATATAAAAGTTAAATTTTTTTAATTTAGAGACTTTTTTCTTCGCTTCTTTTCTGTTTCTTCGTCCTCATCTACACTCGATTTTTTTGCAATCTCTATCGTAAACACTGACTTGCCAAATATTCGTTTTTCTGAAATACATAAAATAATAAATCTTTTTGATTCAGTTTCGTGCAAAATGTGAACTTAATAAATTACGATGACTTACTTGCTTTTAAAAGAAAAAGTTGACATTCGTTTAATACAATTGATTTTATTTTATCTCGTTTTAAACCCAACACAGATCCACTATGCACCATAATAAAAATTGAATAATTATGGATAATATAGTCTATGCAACGCTTTTATGTATAATTTTGTCAATAATTTTTTACATAAATTTCAAAGGATACAGATTTATAATATCATAAGGACTCCTGATTAAATTCCTATTGTTTGCACCACTGGATATAATTATATTCTACACATAAAAATAGATTGACTTAACATATTGATAAAATAACCGTATTTAAAACAGTATTATTTACTACAGCAGTGAAGTAAAATTGACTTAAATGAGAATTTAATATCTATATGTATCCAATGCATATTATAATAACTATATACATACCATGCTTACGCGGCACATTTGTAATTGATAAGAACGATGAAGAGCCGCTACGCGTGTTTCTGGTCTCAAAAGATCTACGTACTGTATTTCAAAGTACAGATCTCTTGCTATTGCCTGCCGATATACTTTTCGATTTATTTTTATGCCAGAAATTTCTGGCTTTATCGTAATGAGATCTACTTTTACGGTTTGACAAGCAAACTAAAAAAAAAATAAAGAGAAGAGATAAGTTCAATATAAATATATTTAATATAAATGGTTAATATAAATAAAAAAGAAATAAATTCAATATAACCAACCTCCAACATATCTTGCTTGGTTGGGACAAGAGCATATATATCATATTTTCTCAAATTTGGACATTGTGCCTATAATAAAAGAATTATATTTAAAAAAATACAATATATTTTATTACTTCAATAGATGAACCTTCTATTTTGAAAATTATGTAACATACCTTCGTAACGTTTGTTTTTGATAGACACCTTATAAAAATGTATCTTAATCTTTAAGTAGGTAGATGGGGTGCTCAGAACATTCCAAACAAATTTTATTTTTAGTTATATTTTTTAATAGTATAGAGCTAAATTTAAATTATTTATACTCTTTTATGAGAAATATAAAATTAATGAATTTTAAGACTTTTGGGCAATACTTTTTATTTTTCTTTTTCAGAATAAAGTTTTTAAGATAGCTATGCATGAAGAGCTCATCTACTTACTTAAGTTAATATATTAATACTTTACTTGAACTATGTTAAAATTTAAGTTACTCTTTCTCAAAACAAAAGGTTTCACAATATAAATTTTATAATATAAAACTATATACCAATGTATGCGCTTTTATAGAACTTGAACAAATAAATGTTAGCCTATTAAGTATACTCAGTTTTCCTTTCCATTTTTCATTCAGTTTTGAAACATCAATTGGATCGGGTACCACACTTGTTATTTGTTTAGTCTCATCCTTCTTTTTCTTATCACTATCCATGGCACTCTCATTTACAGTTTGATTTAATGCCACTGTTCTATAACCCACTAAAACCAAATAAATTCATAAGATAACAAAAATACAATTAATTTCTTATCTTTTATTTTCACACTTAACTTACTTTCATATAATCTCAATAAAATATCATTCAAATTATCTATCCCTCCTTCCGGTACATTTACACACAAGTCAAAAAAGCCTTTATTTAATTTGAAGGATTCCATTTTCATAAAAGCTATCAATATATATAATTACAATATCTACAAATAATCTAAAACAAGCGTGACGAGCAGAAGAAAATCCAGTGTCGTAATAAGTAGACTCCAATGTTATAAAGAATTTTTATAGTAAAATGCAAGAAATTCAATGTTTATAAAAGCATTCAATGAACACTGCACGTGCTACACGTGTTGCACACTTCTTCTTATTGTGTGCTGCATCTTAGACGTCTTTCTGAATATATTAAAACAATCGATACTCGTTAATCATCACTTCGACAAATAAAATCTCAGTATTACAACAAACTAAAGAAAACCATGTAACAATTCGACTACGCGGAATCGTATCTAACAAGTCAGCTGTTCCGGCTGTTCGCAGCAGACCACAACCAGCAGTTCGCAGCTGTGTGGACTTCCGCCATATTGCTGAGTCATCAGACACATGCGTCGATCAATGCTAAATAAGCGCGCGCGATTTAGATTTTGTTGTAATTTGAAAATAGGAAACGTGTTCGACAAACGGAAATTTCCTTAAAAAAGCATAACTATAAAATAAATTTATGGATAAAAATGGAATACGAGAAGGATTATAGAGAACTGACGTCGAAGTTATTAAGACGTCATTCCATGCAGATCAGATAAAAAACGTAGCAAGGATTAATCATCACGCAAATGATTGATTTGACAAAACTACGTTTTATTCCCGACATTCTGGATGATTATTAATCGGAAGTTGTATAGCACGCCTTGGGAAAAAATGAGTCCTTGTTTTGTTTATATGCGAATTTTTAATTGCCGAAATATGAATTACCTTCGCTATCGTATCTTCGAAGGCCGAATGCGCTATTTTGAATAAAGAATAATTTGCATAGAGAATAATAATTTGGTATGTGTACTTGAACTGAGAACTTCGAGAACTATATAAAGACCGAGTTCATATTCCATGACTTAATACAATCCGAAGTAACTTTGTTAGTTGAAGCTACTAAATTAGACTTGATTATGGTATTTAAATTAGGACTCGTCATAATGATTATCCTCGCAAGTAGTGTAGTACGTATTAAATTTTTTTGTAGCACAAACATACTAAAAATTTTAGTAGAAAGTACACAGCTTCGTCATTAACGTTAAACAATTAAATTTGAATTAGAATAAAATTTACGCTTCAAATTATGCAAGAATAAGATTACTCCTCTTTTTAATTTCGATTCTAATTTAAAATTGGGAAAGAAGAAAATTCATTAATTAAATCTCGGTTTATAATTAAAACATGTCAGTGCTCCAATATTTTTTAAAGGAACGTTAATTAAAGCTCATAGTTTAAAAATATCAGTGCATTAATATTAAAAAAAAATCATTAGATCTTAGCTTATAGTTAAAAAAATGCTTTGATATTACAAAAAAACATTTATAGATTAAAAAATTATTTGAATTAAAGAATATATCCCTAAAACTCTGTAAAAGCACAACAGCTAATTAAATTAGAGCAAGGTGATATAATTTCGAACGTGGTACAATTATAAATGAAATAAAATAATCTAAATTTAGAGGTTCAAGTTTAGTAACTCTGATCTGATTGTATGGAGGATACTGAAAAGCATCAAATAAGATAAAATCAAACTTGAACTTCGAAAATTGGATTCAAATTTTATTTCGTTCAGAATTGTACCATGTTTAAAAAATTGTTATCCTATTTATAGGCGCACAAGGGATATTCGTATGTGCGTCCAAACGAGCAACTATTTTACAATCGTGGATACGGTTATGAAGATCTATGTTATCAGTGGTCGAATAACGATGGAATCTCCGATGTAACCGGGAAAAATTTTCCGATCTTCTACCGAATTCCGTGGACACGATTCATATGCGAACGGAAACAACCGGGCTATTACGCCGACCCTGAGGCCGATTGCCAAGCATATCACCTCTGCCAACGCGGCGGTCATAAGGACTCGTTCCTTTGTCCGAACGGCACGTTATTTAATCAGGAGAGACTGGTCTGCACGTGGTGGTACACTGTGGATTGCTCCCGCGCGCAAAGTTTCTACTCCATTAACGAGGCGATTGCAAAAGCAATGAAGGAAGCTGATAGGTGAGCATGTATTACATAACGAATTGTTCAAAATACATACTGTGTACTGTGCGTCCATATTCGCATATGATTATATAATCGGCATCTCCTTATCTCCCATAATTTAAACACAAAAAAATGTTATAGCAATATTTTAACATTCCCGCTGAGTTACCTCATAATAAAATGGAGCAATAAATAAGTCATACGTCCCGTTAATTATAAAATATGCTACTTTCATTCGTACAGAAAAGCAATGAAACAGACTCGGACTCCTCTGCTTTCAGTTGCGAAGTGGTGTTTAAAAATCCGATGGATGTAACATCAATACGGTAATACCGTGTTGATATGATGTAAATTTTGCACCCATGCATATATTAATTTTACTTTCTCCGTGCTTAGTATAAAATTTGCTTTGAACATTCATGGGATTTTTATATATTTAATTTTTGCATATGTCTATTTTTTATATCTCATACGTTTAACATCACTAGTCGATCGATTAATTTTGACACTTGATCACATTAACTTTGATAACTCAAATTTATGAGGCTATAATTTTATATTTTAACGACCTATCATTTTATTTTTGGACACCTAATTTAACGACCTACCATTTGACTATGCATTTTACTTTATATGACAATAGTTTACCGGATTTTTTTAAGTAATTTTATAATTTACTCGACGTATGTAATTACTGTTTAATAATTGTACTAAAGAGGACTCAAAACTAAAGGTCGAAACGTTTACATTTTCTTAATTTATATCTTTAGACAATAAATTTTATGTACATACACGTCCATTCAGTGTTGACTTGTATTGGCATTTTTGTATTTCATTTATATCTAATCTTTGTATCTATCTTTATGACCTTGTATTATTAGATTTATTCATAGACATATATTCTATTAATCACTAATCTTTATTCATAATTTTATAAATTCACTAATCGTTATTCATTCTTTTACAAAGACGTATTAGAATAGCTGCTGAAAAGAAGCAGTCTTGGAGTTATCAGCGTGAATTTAACGTTGAGAATAGATCCTGGAATAAGAATTGTCAGAGTGAACGACGAGGGTGGAACAAAGACAGCACTTTAATTCATCGTAATCAAGATTCGGATTTCTCTAAGCAGTTTCCTTATGAAGCACGCATGACATCTGCGCGTCCTAAGTTTAAATCCTTGTTGAATCTTCGTTACGGTAATTCCCATTTGCCGAAATCAAATTACAAAGTCAGTACCGAATTTGGTAAGCAAGCGATTTCGCAACACCAACCAACCGTTTTACCTGTCCGTATGATTTGTAATTAACCGAATAGTGTTTCCATGTCACATTCATAATATTATTAACATATATTTTAAATAAATATTATTAATAAATTGTCTTACTAAAATAAATAATATAACATGTGATTTTTATTTTTCGCTATTTTTGGAAAATTTGTATCGTTTATATACATATATATGGGATATAATTGAAATTATCATTTTTTAAATTTAACAAAAAATATAATTATCTTGAAAATTACGTTTTAATGCTTAAAGAAATTATTATAAAGTCTAAGAAAAAAGAAAAGAGAGAATAGTTTAAATGATGAAACTACACAAAGCTTCAGCAATATGGTAAGGATTCTAGTTTCCCTAGCATTCTGTTGCCCCAGTTAACAGACTTACAATTAGAATCGTGTCTCACTAAGTTATGATCTTTATACTTGTTTCATATAATAAAAATCGTATGCACGAAACATAATTATCACACGATGTACTTTATCCAAGAGACAATATTTTTAGGATGTAGAAACGTCTTCTTCTAGACGTCCTTTGGAGATCTATGCTGTATGGAATATATTCAAAAATAATTGTGATTGATTGGAGGAGCACGAAAAAATGATAAATTATCTAAACAGATTTAGGTAATTTATAATTTTTTTATTTTCCTTCAATCAGTCACAATTATTCTCATAATAATTTATTATGAGAAAAAAAATTGTTACTCTTTTAATCTATCAATTATTGAGTATAAAATACATACATAAATAGCAAATACGAAATATAAAAATAAAGTTAAAACTTGTGACAGTGTTGTGTGTGTGTGTTGTAAGCACAGTTCTTCAATTTCGTAAAAACTAATGAGCTAAAAAAATTAATATTGAGAATGCTAAAGAGGTTCCCGTCTTATATTTCTCCTTATTCCTAAATGGATTTCTCCAACACGAGCAACCTACCTAATCCCCTTATATTTTTTGCAGTCGAGCTATATTCAAGACAACTTCGGCTTATAATATCACGATTTATGATCGAAGGAAGGGCTCTCGTCATCGATAAACGTGCGATGAATAAGCGATGGCGCAAACGCAGACACGGTTAGATGCTTCTCTACGTTGTCTTTGATATTTCCCGGATTATGAGAAAAAGGGGCAAACGCTAAGAGATTCACAAGAGGGGGCGTTTAGATCTTCTGAATCTATGTATATCTGTCCACTGCATCGCGTCGGTCGAGCACGGTCGAGCACCGATTCCGCCGTCACGATCGTTCGCACGAAGGTCAGTCGTGATTAACGAGGATGGGTGCGCATCTCACTACTTTAATATTCTCACGGATCGCGATCTGAATGCTCCTATTCATAGCTTTTGAACAGATGTAGATGTAGGAACGGACGTGCGTCAGTTATTGCACACCGATTACACGAAGTACTCGTACTGATATACCCATGCATCGATTCTCGCGTCAATGTGCAACCCGTGAAGAACATCAATCAAAAATCTGGATCTTAACGACCTTGATTAAATTTCTCGTTTTTTACGTACGGGAAATTGCGCACTAAGTCCTCGTTACCCGATCAGAAAGTAGTTTAAAAAATCTCTCATTAGGGACCAGCGAAATACAAAAAGAATATTTATGCGTATAAGAGAACTTATAATGGCGGCCAACATTTTTAACGTATAGCCGCTAAAGAGGGTTCTTATTTGCGCAAACTGTGTGAAGCAATATTAGCTTCTAAAGTTATGAAATATAAAATAAGCTAACAATAGCTAGGGGCTTCATTGAAATGTTCTTGATTATTACTATAGAAATGCTGTACTTTATTTGTAGCTTTTGCCGTAATAGTTAATCAATGTAGCAAAGCACATATTCAAAAAATTTTTACATTTCTCTTAATGACATATTTATTTATAGAAGAAAAAGATGACAAGGAAAAATGAATTGTTTCAAATAATAACGTGAAATATGTACAATGTATAAAACAAGCAGATATCTTAACACGCCAGATCTACTTTAGAAAAAGTAAAAGTTTAAAGAAAAATCTTGATTTCTTATATTTTTTAAGACTTTAAAGAAAAGTCTTCATTTTTTAAATAATTTTTAAGAATTCATCTTACGTATGGCTTATAGAAATTCTTCCTATAAGTTTACCAATTATCACATACTTCAATTATCTCAATCATCTTCCTTGTAGTTATTACAAAATTCAATCAACAGCTAATTATTGCTTCACATAATAATCCGGCAAATATCGTGATGATAAAGAAATATTACGAAAAGAATAAAGCGCACAAGAGAGAGATGACAAGGACAACTTGTCTTTCTTTTTGAATGATTTGTCACTGATGTAATGCAATTGTTGTGAAGAGAAACTATGAAGATTACTGATAATTCATACTTTCTCGCTTTGTTTGTCCTAATTTTCATGAAGTTTAATGTATTCTCAACATAGATATATTCAAATATTATAACTTGTTATATTGAAATCTTTTCTCACGATTATGTCGTAATCATAATTGTTTGAAGCATTAATGTGATCGATTTGTTGCAATGCATTACTTCAATATTATGTAATGCAGATCATTACCCTAATTTTTTTATCAATAAAAATTATTTATTGTTAGGACAAAATGCCTTAACCATTTCTTCTCACTTAAAAGATACCGTCGGATCGTGAGACAATTGTCGATGTTATATATATAATACAATAAGTAGATTCCGGGCATGTTTTACGAGGGAACCAAGTGCGGTGCGGGAAGCGCGATTGAAGTCTCGCGCTCGTGAGAACAAATTTGGTGTAATTATCGCGGAAGCATTGCGCCGTCTTGGAACAACGTTATATGAAAATTGTACTAATCGTATATATAGATTTCTTTCGCCGCATTTATAATATCATTTCAAAATAGATTAAACTATAAATTAGGAGAAATCATATCATATACATATTTTAAATTATTCATTTCGTTAATAAATGATGCACTAAAAATGACTGTTTAATACTAGAAGTATCAATTTTTTTTACTCACTAAAAAAAGAACAAAGTGAATAAATTATTACGAAAATAAAAAAAATAAAAAAACTATAAAATATTTTGTCAGTGTAAAAAATATAATTATTAAAAAGTAAAAAAATCTCAGAATCCTATCTCTTACACAAGAAACTTTTTACACTTAGATTAATATTATAGTATTAATCTGAAAAATAAAAATAATCAATAATGATTACTTCTAGTGTTAAATAACGTCGCTATCAAGGATATCTTCTTATATTTAAATGAAATTTTTAAGAATCTCTTTCTTTTTTTAGTTCTTTAGATATACGCTTTGAAATATTGCAGATCGTAAACATATTATATATATACGTGTGTTATTCATGGAAATAATTAGAAAAAATATTATAATTAATTTTCATATATTCATACATTCATTTCAATGTGAGAACTTATTCGTCATAGCGGCGAGTGACGAATGCATTGGATACTGCTATTATAATCGTAATCAGTTTTTTCTACCATACGTTATTTCCATGTTTATTCTAATTGCCGCAGATTCTATAAAAATTTCTTAAAATATTCATAAAATAGATGAATTCTAATACAATCAATCGTTAGACTTCATTAACGATTAGTTCTAGAGGAATGGATGATTTTGCAATGTGTAAACGATTATCGCAATCGTATTAAATCGCTGATGGATTTCAGCAGAAATGCTAATACGATTATATAGTCGCGTATAAGAGCCTTTCTATGTTGGATTAGGATTATTGATGGATATCGCAAGCTTTACTCATCAACCATCTTATGAAAATGAAGATACTTCTCTCCACAGTTTTTTTTTTCGAGGTTCAAAGTTTATTTCTTCTAAAGTTTTTCGAAATTATATTTATATAATTGCCACTTTTGCTCGGTAGATTTTCATTACTTATAATCTCGTAGTGCGACCATAGATATAACAGAATTGTTATTAAATTAATAGATATGAATATAATTTAATTTATAAATTTTCAATGTACTAAGAACCTCTTAGAGTTACAAGTGCAATTTTCAATGGAACTAAACTGGTTTTCTCATGGAATATAGGCAGAAGGTGAGGTGGAAGAAACGAGCTGGGAAATACTCGCCTTAGGGGTCCACATCTAGCATCCTCAAGGTTTTGCAAACTGAAATCTCATCCGCTCGTCCGTACGATAACTTAGCAAATAGCTGTATAGATTCTATAGATACCATGCATCCTCGCCCCGGGACTCGTCGTGGCCGACTCTGATTGCTGCAGATTTTGTGGATGTATGCATGTGCATGGTACCATGCGAGGGAATTAAACAGAAATCGAGGAATTTCGCAGTATCACGATGTGTGTGCGAAGCGAGAAGTCGATATCGGTGCCCTTTTGTCCCATTCGGCATAAGCTTCGCGTCAACTGCCTTTATACCACCCACACGATGCAGTAACTCACACTTTGCGGTGAAAGCACCATAGAGGAGAACGTGCGAAGAGATGTCGTGTCACTATGTACGTCCAATGATGATTACGCGATGACGCAGACCGATTATAAATCCGAAACGGAGCGAGCGAAGAACGAATGGAATAGCTCGTCCTTTGACAACGACGGAGAGCAGCGTCATTGTAGTGGTTTTCATACAAAATTTACTGTAAGTAAATCATGGAGATTCGTTAAAGAGGTAGAGATTTGCCAAAGAGGTAGAGATTCGTCAAAGAGATAGAGATTCGTCAAAGAGATAATATCAATCAAACTCGTCAAGTCAGAAAATATTTTTAAAATTGCCGTAAGGCAATTCATTAAATAAAATATCGAATAAAAAGAAAAACTGTTCATTCGGAAAAAATATCGATAACATTTTTCATTAATAGTATTAATAATGTTAATAATGATTTTTAAAACAAAAAATTTGTTTATCTAGATTTTCTTTCCGTATCTGTCGTATGACGGGAACATTATGCACAGAGTAATCTAAACGGAGTGCTCTTGTCATTAAATTCGCTCATCTTTTGTCAAAGTACGATAAAATCAATATGATCTTTTCTACTGCTTTTCTAATTATCCGGATAACGTCGACATCCCGAAAACAAAGCAAGAGGATTTTCGTTTCAAAAACATTCTATATGTATGCAAGGAAGGGTATTATTCTCTACAGCTTCCCGATATCATGCATTATTTATTAGGAATCACTTCTCTTTGATCTCACAATTAGGTAAAGGTTCAAAGCTAGAAACGATCGTACCATAGCTTTACAAACGCAATTGCTCTACAATTACTTATGGAAAACTTATGAAATTGTTTTAAGAAGAGCTACAAATCTATATATTTTATATTATAATAACAAATTATGTATGTACATGTATATGTATAAAAATAATAAATTATTAAAATTTTAAAAAAGTACAACTTTTTTATACATATAGGCCCGCATTCAGAACGTGCTTGTATCGATAAAAGTGCGCTTTTATTTCTGAAATTCTATAATATGCGTGATGTAAAGTATAGTATATCAGCGCGCTAACATCATTGTAAGCGCGTTCTGAATACGGGCCATTATATCTCATATTTAATAATAAATAAACATTTGAATTTAGAATATTTAAAAAACATCTGCATATATTTTTTTATATGCAGATATGTTCTACAATTTATAAAATAAAATAGATTTTATATATGACTTTGCTAATTAATTAATTAGATAAACAATAGTTTTTTATAATTTTATCACAAATTTATGTAAAAATATTTGTTAGAAATAAAAAGAAGAAATGTTTCTTTTTAATAATTCTTCTTGTTTTGTTCATTTATATTTGCTAATAAAGGATGATATAAATTCTGTTTGTACTTTAACAAGCAAGGGGTAATTGCGGCAGCAGCGTACATCTATTTTATCTAAATACAAGTAGATCGAGATGCAGAGACATCCTCGCAATCTTTCTTCTCTAATGCGATCTTCGCCGTCGACTAGAGCAACGCGAAATACACAGCACTTCGGTAGACGTTACTCTACTTGCAGTATTTCACTTTCACTAACCCCGGCCTCCCACGAGCTGCTCATCTCCGCGAGATCCCCCATCAGGACCCCCCTTTGGAGGAGGCCTCCTTCGGTCCCGCAGCGGGTCACTTACGTCGTGAGGTCGTTCCACGGATAGCGCACCGCTTATGGATAGTAATGGACCCGCGCTAGATCCGCTGCCGCTATTTTGGGCCCAACCTGTCGATATTTACTTTAAGTAATCATCCGGGGTTAAAAAGGTCCAGATGTCTCTCCTCTTCATCCGACTCTTATTTTTAAAAAGGTGGTTCCTGCTGTATCTATGGATCTTCCATATATAGGAGATTATATAAAATATCTATTATATTCAATATTTACATAATATTATAAATTAAAATATATGTACAAAAAATATTTATATTATTGTTTATTAGTATGAAATATTGTATATCTTAGATTTGTATTATTCTCTTGAAATAATTATCATTAACGTAAAAATTATCTGAATAAAATATATTATAGTTGCAACATATGTTAAATGTATTTCTTAAGATTTGACGAATAAGAAATCAGTGCGGAAGCAATATCTTCGTTTCTCCTACGATTTTCAGAAGTACAGACCCCCCGCACGAAAGGATCCATCCCATCGCTATTCTCGGTTTCGCGAGTTTCCCCACCTTGCATCCTGAAGAACAGAGGAAAAAAGGGGGCTCGATCTGGAGGAGGTCGAAGGATGAGCGCCGGGGCTCATCCCTGGTGGGGGCGTATCAGCACTCGGGGTGCTATCCAAGGATATATATGCCGATGAAGTTACTTCCACCATCAGTCACTGTCTTGACTTACCTCAGCACTGCGGTGTGTTTTGTACATACGGATCGGTTGGGTGAGTCCTCGACATCACTTCATCCCCCTAATGACATCCACGATCGCGCTTTTGCCCGCTGTTCAACTCTGCGAGTATTCGCGTCTATCGCATGAATTGGACCCCTTTTTTCGTTCTAACCAGTGTAATTCACCCCGAGAATTAAGTTCGTTATTACATTTTTCCTCTCTAATGCATCTGTGCGCGCGTATCCCAATGTGGCACCGATAACACGCACGAATGACCCGACGAAGGTCCCAAACTTCCGTGCGCAATGCTCGGGGATAGAATGAGGAATGAACGCAGTGCATTAAAGCAACACGGTCAGTGATTTCCATTCGAGCGTATCTTGGAGTTCCATTTTCTTGTAAATATGTTTAATATCTTAACCCTTCGTGTACACAAGGGAGTGATGTAAGTTACAATAGCAGAGTAGACGTATATGCTCATCCAAGTATCAATGTACAAAATTTTGTGCAAATTTATAACGCTAGGGATATATAAAATACTAAAATTTTTTCTTTCTAATGTTATAATGATATCACACTAAATTTCTATACGTATTTAAGATTTTAATAAAATTTTCATATCATATAAAGAAAGAAGTATTAATTAATTTCTTTGGAACATTCGTTTAGTTGTTTCAATTTAATGTCAAAATCAATCAATGTGATATATAAGTAATATAAATGTACTGAAATTCCATTATTAAAAAAAATTTTTTTAAACATTTTTGACAGAAATATCATCCATATTTTAACGAGAAAAATAACTTACATTTTTAACAACAAAATACATATCAAATAAAATTTTATTATTTAAAAAATACTTTATGATTCAAAACATTTTTGGTAGAAAAGTTATACATATTTTAGCAAACAAATTGCATTTTTAACAACAAACAGCATAATATATCTCATCAAATAAAATTTACTTATATAATATAGACGGAATATAATTTGTGAAATTATTGCAAATCACTGCAAGTTTTAAAGTTTTAATATCCATCTTTCAAATATTTCTACACTAACTACATATGTAAATGTATGAAACAGATCAATCGATTGCACTATCTTTTCAGACTCGCCCACTCCTTGAGGGTGCTTGCGCCAGCAAATATGCGGCTACGCTTGCTCTGGATCGGTAAGATAAAAGTGATATTCATTCAAAATATTGAGTTCATCGCATGGCTTCACTTCGTATAATCATCTAATGTAGTAACCGGGTTGTTACGTTAGCACATCATCAAGTAAGCACATGGGAAGAGCTAACAAAAAGCGATGCAAAAAATGTCGCGGCAATATCCGTCGGTTTTCCTCTGGAGAAAACAGAAAGATTAGCAGAGATTGCAGTGTCGTGGACAGAGAAAAGAAAGTTCGCAATTTGTGACGTGTCCCAACGTCAAGTATAACCTTCGTCTCGATAATCGAAGGAGATGAAAAGTTTCCAAGCAATTGTGTTAAGCAATCCTACACTAACTTACACCTTCCGTTCATCGAATTATCGTACCATATAAGTTCTCATATGCGCCATTATGCATCACGCAATCGGTATGGCATTCTTTGACAATGTCTCTTGTCCGTATGATGACTGTAAATCACATCAGAAAGATACAAAAAGGCAGAAAAACTTCATGAGCGATCATCAATTGCAAACGTGATAAAATTAAAATTTTCTAATAAATATGTTTATTTTTAAATATTCTTACACAGTTGGAAAATATTGTGTTGAATTTGACATAAATCGCATGTCCCAAACGGTCCAATCCAATTTTGGAGTTAATTTTACACAAGATGAATATGTTAGAAGGTAACACAAATATTATGTAAGAGAATAAATACACAAAGAAAGATAACATCGAAACAATTTGTAAACAAACCGTGGGAACATTTTTTTTCAGAAAATTAACATTTGATATGTTAAATTAACACATATTTCATTCATTTGTCTTAGAATTTACGTTTTAAAACACATTATTTTTATGTTACTTATTCACTTATTCATAAATTGTATCATTTTGACACTAAAAAACATTAAATATCAATTTCACAAAAAATTTTCAAATAACATCACATTATGTTGTATTAACACTGGCATATGTTAAAAAATTCAACACAAGCTGTTAACACAAACGTGAGTTTCCAACACAAATACACAAATTTTTTTACTGTGTATATTTAAAAATAATATTTGCTCTTTTTTAAGTGTTCTTATTTTATTTTTTTAATTTTTATTGAACTTTCTGTCTCTAAGTGTAATTTTGAACTATAAAAACACATTATGAGCACAAGTCGTAATTGTAACAAGTCATAATTATAATGTGTATATCAAACGAAGACAAATACATTAAAAAATATGTACTAACTTTTAAGTATGAGCTGTTAAAAAGAAATTTTATTTCTTGAAACGATTTATTTCTTTTATTAGATAATATCTAATAGAATTAAATGTCGTAATACGTACTTCTTTTATGATTCGATTACGATATTACGGTCCAAATGAGTTTTAAATTTCGATGGAACCTTCACGCAAGGTCTACGATATTTTTTCGTAACATCCTCTAATTAAAACGAATTAGAGATAAGCCAGCGCGCCGTGGGCTGGTATTGTTCCAACGCACTTTTACGTATTACGGGGTCACCATTTACGCTTACAATCATCCGCACTTAAAATAAAGGTCAAGTGTATGCAGCGTACCGTGTTAGCGCAACTTCTATCGCTTTGCTTCTTACGAATCTTACGAACAGGCACCGTTCGAGATCGTAAATCTATGAAAAAGGCGAGCGCTTGAAAAGCCAAAGAAAAGAATAATTCGGAAATAAGCCAAACTTTTCTAATTTTAAAGTCAAACTATGAAGTATGAATTATCGCAGTTTCCTTATATATGAATTATAGCAACTATACATAGTAAAGACTAATTGAAGGCAATTAAAAGAGATTTTTTAACGTGCTGCTATAATGAAATTACGTTACATTGATATAAAGTAAATGTAACTTTTTTTGGGTAGAGATACTAGATAAGAAAAATTTGTAGTCCGAGGAAATATAGCCTAAGATGGGTTAAGCTGTTTCCGTTACGACTTCCCTTCGGGCAAGTTACGTCAATACTCTGACGATCGTGCAATACTAGTGTAACCACGTAACGGTCAAAGATCCTCTCAAACGATGCATCGAGTATCGTGCTCGGATTATCTTCGTAGATCACGCGAGGTTCGGCCATCTTGATCTCCGCCCCATTGTTTCGAGGTAACCAAAACCGAAGCTATCAACCGACAACAGGAAGGTGTACGAATAATGGTATGCGATACTGTTGCTTGAAATAGTCTTTTGGCCAAATTATGCGTGGTGTGGAAATAAATAACGAAGGGTGAAGGAAAAAGATCTCCTGCAAAATTGTTAATACATTAAAATATGGAAAGAAATTCCCACACGTCGCTCATGATGATCATAACCATTTAAACAGTTTTTTTGTGTTTTTAGTTCCGTTTACTAATATAGCCTATTAAAACCGGAAATTACTAGGAAAAAAGCGTTGCTATTAAATATGCCATTTATATTTCTATGCATAATTAATTTTAAAATAAAGTTTTATTAGCAATTTAATATATATAAGATTTATGAATTACTGTCTTAAGTAATCCTGACATTGAATAACTTTAAATTAGCTTTTATTGCAATTACTTTTGTTGGTGCAAAAAATTGATTCAATTTTGTAAGTATATAAATAAAAAATACCAAGCTAATTTAAAATTGAATTTCGATTGATAATTATTGGATCGATAAATTATTGGATTCGGAAACAAAATTCATATTTAATCTGACAAGAAGTAATTTTTTGATTATCTATGATCCGCTGTGACAACGATCCTATTTGAGTCATAGAAATCAATCGTATTTGTTAAGTTACACCTATTAATCTATGTCAAAAAGTAAAGTCACCATTAGAGCTTAATTTATCAACGTCAACGCCTGAGGCATCATAGACGTTTGAATCGTTTAATAATTACAGTTATTCATTAAAAACGATATTCATCGCGACAACAGGAAAAATTAATCAAAATTTTTATAATTTATTTTATTACTTGCGTATAATAACATTCTCCGAATCTATTTTCAATCAGGGGGAGACGGAACCATAGCTCGCCTTCATGAAATATTTTTAAGAAAGAAGACACTTAAGGTTGAAGTCATGGCTCCCATGGCCTCATGGGGTTCTTCTTTCTTAAAAAATATTTATAGCAAAATGTTATATATACTTTTAATATTTTTGAAATGCTTAATCACAATTTTGATATTTTAAAAAATATTTTTTAATTTAAGAAATTCCTAGATTGTTTACAGTTTAAGGCTCACCTGCTCTATTGTAGACATCGCATTATGCAGCGTTATGCAAAAAGTTTATGATGCGCAAGTTAAAAATTGAGAACGGAAAAATATGGAATCTAGGGAAATTTTTCTTTTTTTTTTGTTTTTTTGGTTATTGGCGGAACATGGTTGGAGAAACTCGGCAACCCAATAGCATACAAATCTGCCAATGGCCCTCACCTTGAGAAGTTTCTAGATTCGCTTTTGTTTTTAATAACGATGTACTTGATGCCATTATATAGAGAAATTAAATTATATTTTTCAATAAAGTACACTTTATAATTCGCAAATAAAATGATGTAGAAACTTAAGGAAAGCAATTTGCTGAAAGATTTTTTCTGATCGCGTTTTCTTACATGTAATCGAAATAAATAAGTATTATTTGAGAACATCACTACATAAAGTTTACAAGAGTTGGATCTTCTTGCATGCCCAAGAATCAGAGTTCTATATTTGCTTACAACAAGTAGCTTGCGTGATCCGCGAACCGGTGTCATTGCGAAAACGTGCACGGTCTTCACAATTCTCGTGTAACTCCACACGCACTCGTGCAGCTTATTCGTACTGTTCGCCTCTGCTTCTCTCTCTTCTGCACGCGCGATCTTTTCTTCTGCGTTTATCCCTCTTCATTTTTTTTAATGCTATTTACGTTCAGGCAAGCGTGCGAAGAACCCGTAGCTTCTCCGTGCCTACGCTCTAAGCGCGCTTGACAATGCTCCTTAATTAATTAGACGGGAAGTTATGTCAGAGATTTTTCAAGACACATTTCTCTTCTGTGAGATTCGCACGCAACCTCTCGTCATCGCGACGAATTGCGGCTGTTACTGGAGGCGGCGTCGGCGGCATACAGCCGTTAGCACTGGAGATAATTGATGTCATAATCAAAATTCTTTCTTTGATGGATTTGTAACGCGCTTGTTGTAACAACTGCGTCCGATAAAAAAGTGCAATTTGTCAAGGTACTAAAAAGAATAACATAGTCTTGTTTGATTTGTTTCAGTCTTGCTGGCTGTCACTCGTACAGCTTTGGTAAGTAATTCTTAATCATAGATTACATCATTAAAAAAAGTATTCAAATAATATATCTCTTAATATAATTCGCAATTTTTTACGATTAATTTACTTTATTTGTATAAATTTAACTTTCTTTAATCTCCATTACAAAAGCAGTACGTTAAAGTCGATATAAATCAACGCGATGTAATCATTTTAATTTTTCGCGATCAACACATCTCTTTACTCCTTCTTTCCCACCTTATGAAACAGTATTTTCGGTTGCGCAACTTTATAAGCACTCTCATATTAATCAGTCGTGACTGTAACTGTTGTAACTTCACAACGATCACAATGATCGAGGAACGAGAAGACGCTCCTTCGGACTTTTCTTACAAGCATGATTCTAACGATGCCGGAATCTATAAATCTGGTATATTTTACCATTCAAGGGTATCGTGATTTCAACTAATGCCGAAACGATACTAAATAAACGATAAATATAATAAACGTATTTAATTCGGATTATATATGAGTAAATATATATTATTAATATTACAATTAAAATATTATTTAAACAATATTATTTTAGACCGTTTATGTGAGAACACAATCAATATTAAAATGCCTATAATGGTCGAGTTTAGTAATTCGGTTTAGTAATTCAAGATTCAATTATTTAAGCATTAAAGACCCAGCTTCGACTGTTGTAGGCATTTTAATATTGAAAATATTATTTAAGTTTAATATTATAGTAAATATTTCGATAACAAGTTTAATTTTATAAAATTAATTTATAAAAGAATTATTAGAAGTTATTTTTTTAAGAAAAAATTATTTATTTTATATTTTTTCCTTGTTTCTTTACAAAGAATTACATCTCTTATCGATTCTATTATAAGTTAGTCGACATTCTCTATATGTCATAATTAACGTTACAGGCTGATGACGAGGGATATAATTACCCTAGGCCGACAAACCAACTTATACCAGGTACTTCAGGAGGAGGAACTGGCAAACCAGGAGGATTTCCAACTGCCCCCGGAGGATATCCTTCTGGTAGTCCAGGTGCACCTGGAATTCCTGGAGAACAAGGAGCTCCTAGTGGGCAACCTGGAAGACCAGGTGGTTATCCATCAGGACCACCAGGATTTCCAGGACGCCCAGGCGATGCTCAACCAGGGAGACAACAGCCTAGCTTTCCATCAGGTCCAGGACCTTCGGAGGGATATCCTAGTGGACGACCATCAATTCCATTTCCAAGCGGTGAACCAACAGGAAGACCAGGAACGGGTCCCGGTATACCGAGTGGACCAAGTGGACGACCAGAGGGATTTCCAACAGGGCCAAGCGGTGGATATCCTAGTGGTAGACCTGGTGGGCAAGCACCAGGTGGATTTCCAGGACAAAGACCTTTCGGATACCCGAGTGGTGGGCCCGGCCAGAGAAAACCAGAAGGTCCTGGATATCCCAGTGGTCGGCCGAGTGGACAAGGACCAAGTGGAGGATATCCTAGCGGTCAAGCTCCTGGAGGTTATCCCGGTGAAGTACAGAAGCCTAGTGGCCCGGAAAGTGGATATCCTAGTGGAGGGCCAGGAGCTGGCTACCCTGGAGGTACTCAAAGACCTAGCGGTGGTCCAGGCCCTCAGAGACCAGGTGGATATCCTGGATCAGGAGGGACGAATGGTCTTCAAGGTCCTGGTCCACAAGGCGGACCATCTACCAGCGGATATCCTAGTGGTAGACCAGGAGCGCAAAGACCAGGAGGCTACCCGAGTGGTCCAGGCCCACAAGAACCAGGATATCCAAGTGGACCAGGAACACAAAGACCAGGAGGTTATCCAGGCGGCCCAGGTCCGCAAGGACCAGGAGGATTCCCAGGTGGGCCAAGCCCGCAAGGACCAGGAGGGTTTCCAAGTGGGCCAAGCCCGCAAGGACCAGGAGGGTTTCCAAGTGGACCAGGCCCGCAAGCACCAGGCCCGCAAGGACCAGGAGGGTTCCCAGGTGGACCAGGCCCGCAAGCACCAGGCCCGCAAGGACCAGGAGGATTCCCAGGTGGGCCAGGCCCGCAAGGACCAGGAGGATTTCCAGGTGGACCAGGCCCGCAAAGACCAGGTCCACAAGGACCAGGAGGATTCCCAGGTGGGCCAGGCCCGCAAGGACCAGGAGGGTTCCCAGGTGGACCAGGCCCGCAAGGACCAGGAGGGTTCCCAGGTGGACCAGGCCCGCAAGGACCAGGAGGATTCCCAGGTGGGCCAGGCCCGCAAGGACCAGGAGGATTTCCAGGTGGACCAGGCCCGCAAGGACCAGGTCCACAAGGACCAGGAGGATTCCCAGGAACTGGTCATCCAGTAGGTCCTGGCGGACCTGGAGAATATACGCATGAGGGTGAGGGAACATACGACGAAGGTGATTATTCAGCTATTCCGGGCGAACCTGGTCGCGATTATCCTATATACAGTGAAATTCCGGAGACCAGTTTCCGTTGCGATGCCCAACAATTCCCTGGTTACTATGCCGACGTGGAAGCCCAGTGCCAAGTTTTTCACATATGTGCCAACAATAAGACCTACGATTTCCTTTGTCCAAACGGAACAATTTTCCATCAGCAATTTTTCGTTTGTGTATGGTGGAATCAATTCGACTGTAATTCCGCGCCAAGCCTTTACTATTTAAATGAAAATATTTATGACTACACCATAATGGGAAGTCAAGGTCAAGGACCTGCAGGACCTTCTGGACCTAGTACTTATCCAGGAGGTCCAGGTGCTCCTAGTGGCCCAGGTGGTCCAAGTTATCCAGGAGGTCCAGGCGCTCCTAGTGGTCCAAGTTATCCAGGAGGTCCAGGCGCTCCTAGTGTTCCAAGTTATCCAGGAGGTCCAGGCGCTCCTAGTGCTCCAAGTTATCCAGGAGGTCCAGGCGCTCCTAGTGGACCAAGTTATCCAGGAGGTCCAGGCGCTCCTAGTGGTCCAAGTTATCCAGGAGGTCCACAACGTCCTGGTGGTCCAGGTTATCCACGAGAAGGACCTCAAGGTCCGTCAAGGTCTGGCGGTCCAGGTTATCCAGGAGGACCGGGAGCTCCATCCGGTCCGGGACCGCAAGGTCCATCGGGTCGACCAGGACCTGGATATTTAGGTCCGCCATCAGGACCACCGAGTCCTCAAGGACCTCAAGGGCCAGGTGGACCTGGATATCCTGGAAGACCTCAAGGACCTCAAGGGCCAAGTGAACCAGGATATCCTGGAAGACCTCAAGGACCTTCCGGACCTACTGGACCATCGACGAGACCTCAAGGACCTAGTGGTCCGGGATATCCAGGACCAGGTGGACCATCTCCAGGATATCCAGGACAACCTCAAGGACCCACTGGTCCACAAGGTCCAAGCGACTTCCTGGGTGCACCAGGTCGTCCGCAAGGACCTAGTGGCCCAAATGGATATCCCAGCGGTAGACCAAGTGGTCCAGCGTTCCCAAGTGGGCCTTCTGGGCCAGGAGGTATCCCTGGAAAACCCGAGACGGGTTCGCCGTTCCCACCGCAAGGACCAGCGAAACCTGATCGTGAGTACTTGCCGCCGCGGATTGGTTAAACACGAAGCTAAACTTACGGCTCCTAACGACAACTTTTATCGTTAATGCCGGATGACGTGTAAATACGAGCCTCCATACTTGCGTATATGTAATAACTATAAGTGATATCGATTATTCGTATTGCATTTACACTTTTACATATAGGGAATTTGATTATTCTGCTTAACTATTTACTCATCCTTTCTAGGATTTCCACGCAGAGAATTGATGCTATTTATATCATTGTATGTGTTCGATTAGCTTTAGTGTGGTAAAATATGTTTATACAATACATACATATTTTCATATTAACAATTATATTGAGGTATATAATTTAAAATATATATACTTCAATTTTATATTCATATATTATAAAATATATGCATTTTTTATATTTTACTAGTAAAATATAAAAAAAATATTATTTTACCAATTCTAAAAATTCTAGCATTAAAAATGTTTGTTTTTTAGCCTTTTTGCTACATAGTTATTAATGCAGCGTATAAAAAGCAGTATAAAAAATTGATGAAATGATTTTGTCAAATTTAAAATGTTTGATTGCAATATAATTCAGTTTTTTTTAGATCTATTTGTCATCTATTATTACATTAACGTACTTAATAAATCATAAGTTAATTTGTGCAATAAATATTTTTGATGTTAAATCGCATCAAGGAAGAGTATTTAACGGAAATCTTATAATGAAATTATGAGTGAATAATATTAAGACCTGTATGCTGGATGTATTCATCACCGTCCAATTACATCTTACTAATTAATTAAATTAGAAGTATTAAATATCTTTCATTGTTATTGTTATTAAATAAACATCAAATTCTAATCCAATTTCATATTCCTACACAATAAAAATAATTATTAGCGCTACTATTAATATTGTTATTATTGATATTGTCAATATAATAATTATTAAAATTATTATTATTATTACAACCTGATCTTATCGATTAATCTGTATCGAAACTAATCGAAGACGTTGATGGAATACATGCAGCTTGTAAGTATTAAAACGCGACATATTTATTTATTCAGCTTTAATGAAAACCATGCCACTTACGATCTATCAAAAGAGATGAATCGGACGTCATGCGGATGTCAACGATACTTAGATGTTTGTACGATTAGAAATAAGAATTTATTAATTAAATATAATCAAAATTACTTGAAAATTAACGAAACGAGGTATAGAGTTTTATATTTTAAGGTAACCTTGCCTTATGAAGTGTCATATAATAACACTTTTAACACAGAGTTAATTATTATATTTATCAAATACACAATATGATTGTAAAGATGCAATTTTTAACGATTTGTGCGACATATTTTCTTAGTTTAATTCAAACCACAAGTTTATGTTTGTAGAATTGTAATAGCAAATATTTTGTAAGTAAATTATAATACGTAAAACTGCGACAATATATTTTTTACAAGAATGTCTTCAAGAACTTTATGATTTCAAGAGTCATATCTTTAAAGTGGAAGAAGCGTAATTATCATTTCGATAAAATAGTACCTAATTAATTATCACGCGATCCGAAAATAACGAAGCAGTGAGAGTCCGATTTCTTCCCGAAAAGTGTATCATTGTTATATATAATTATGCAACGCATGACATAATTAAATATATATATATATATATACATGTACCTATATTTTTATAACAATGGTTTGAGACTCCTACGTGGGATGCCATTATGTATATTTTATGCGCGAAATAAAGGAAACACCTTTGCAAGAATTATGTTGTCTCTATTCACTATAGGTCCCGCGGGTTACTGAAACCCGCGCGAAAGACGCTAACACACACGCGCGTTACTACATATTGCCTTTCCCTTTCCTCTCATTACTATAATTAGTCATTTCAAATTGTTCGCGCCGGGGGTTACATAAATTCGTATGTACGCGGGCTACGTGCGATCATCGTTTCGCGATTTATAGTTGCGTGTATTTCGCAACGCGCCGTCTCTTGTCTTCTGCGAGACGTGAGGTGAGTCAAGTTAAGTCGAGTCAAGTCGAGACGAATCATTCGACGGGCAAAATGATTTTGCGGATTCCCATAGCAGTGACGTTACATTAGATAAACGAGTTGTGAGAGGCCCGCTGCGGTTCGTTCACGCGTCTTAAATTGTCTGACATAGCTAACTGGGTCGTACGAAATACCTCATCCTGTTATTCACATCACTCTCGTCGGATTGTTCTAACGACGCGACGCGCCGTCATTCCATCAAGAGAGAGAAAAACGAGGAAAAATGACACTTAATCATAGCGCGCGAAGTATCAGGTGCGATGGAAATAGACGCGCGTAAACCGCGGGTTATGCGTCGGGATCGGTAAATAACCGCAGTAACAGTGTACACAGGCAATTCCAACCGGTTAGTAGTATCGCGCGAATAATCAGACGCCCGCTGTTGTAGTTTGTAATGAAAGGAGTTATACGCAAACCCAATTAAACTTTGGTCTGGAAAACGGCTAGCTTCGGGCAAGATAACAAAGGTCAATGGCTAATTAACAACGCATGCAAATTAGGAACGTAATTTGTGTGCGTTGCTGCGTATCGTAAACGCATTGCATATTGTATATAGTAATCATTTTGTATAAAAGACTTGATAACGAAAACTACTGAATACGAAAAACTCTCGCGTCGCGGCTGTATTACAAATGCATACAGATTTTTATCTCAATTAAACAACAAATTACACGAGCTGTTTTATCGCGACTTTAAAAGATGTTTTAAAATAATTTTGAACGAAAATTTAATGGAAGATTATCCGAGATTCAATTTTAATTAAGATTAAAAATATAATTTTTAATACTTATTACTGCCAAGAATTTTATAAATTATTGATAGTAAATCTTACATCTACTCCTTCTTCGTAAAATATTCGCTACTTTTTCATAAAATATATCAGGAGTTTGGTAACAGAACGTGACGGTGTAAGCCGAAGATGAATCTCTTTCTTTCTGGGGTATTAAAAAATAATCAAAGGGCTGCAAAATAAAAGCGCGATGCAAATTGAAAATGTATAACGTAATACATTATGAGTCACTCTTCATGAATACATAATGGATGAGTCTACGACGAAACGCGAATTCCGTTTCGTCAGCGCGGTGCACGAAGGTCCAGTGGAATACATGTATCCGCAAAAACGGTCTCTCTTACATATTTGGTGCAACATCAAGGCGATGATCGTGTGAAAAATGTAGAAATTAATTGGAAGGCGCCGCGCGCAGCTTAGATATTACCGGCCCGTTACGCAAGCCAACCTTGAATGGCACGCGGACCATCTTGCTCGAAAAGTAGACCATCAGAGTGGTGATAGTGACGGATCACCTGTTAACAGATCTGACTTGCAACCTGACCTTTTGCAGCTGGTACTGATTCCGCTGTAGACACGCAACGTCGACTATTTGTTGCGGGAAAGTAGAAATAGACGTGCACACTTCTGTCTCTACCTTTATTTCTCTCTCGGTCAGCATTACCGTATGTGTAGTTAATTGGCGTGCGTAATTGAGCTTTACCTATGCATAATGGGGATAACTAACGAATCAGTCAAGCGAAGAAAATCTTATTCAAAGATGATTATATCACGTAGAGTACAGTGAAATTTTACACGCAATTTACGCGACGTTTTTACAACATTAGTACAATCTGTTACTTTGTAAAAACATTCTGTAATATAAAATAAGTTAATTAACTGAAACTGAATAATGTAAATGAAACATTTTCACAGAGAAAAGCAGAATCTCGTAGAAAATAAAAACGGAATCCTCTTTGCTTAGAGATAAACGTATATAAATTGTAAAACGGAAGTCAAATTTCTTATTTTTTATTAAGAAGATTTATAACGCAGATTGCCGCAAATGTTTTTGTATTTAAGATAAAAAATATACGTTCCGTGCAAAATACTCGTTAATTTCAGCTCTTGAGAATCGATATCTGCTGCATATCTAATGGCCATGTGCACACTCGAAACGTAATGTTTTTTTTTTGCGATTTGTTAACTCGAGACGCGCGCATGTATCTTAGCAGGGGTATCATTCGATGGGCACGACGGAGATGCAACGATGACGAAATTTGTCAGCTCTTCAACTACTGACTACATTATTGCATCTCCCCGTGATACGATACGGACGATGAAACCCGCTGTCACGGAAAATAGGACGAAAAACGGCGGGCAGCAGATGGTATAGCCAATATCGCAAGGCGATTTATGCAATTTCTGTAGATTGTAAATTGCAAATGACCGCGCGTGTTGCGGGATCCTCGGTTAAGGCAATACGTTTGCCTTTGTAAATTTTACGAATCGCAGACCGAACAACGTTCGCCTTATGGCGTCGTTACAAGAATCGATATTCTCTCTCTCTCTCTCTCTCTCTCTTCGAGCTTTACGATTTACGCGATAAATAAAAATGAGCGCTGCAAAATATACCACCGTTGCAAAATATCACACAAGCTGTCTAGTCATCGTGTGTAATGATAGCCGCGCTTTATAGATCCCTTACGAAATTTTGAGGATTATAAAAACATAGTTATTATACTTATGTTAGTTTTTAGAAAAATAGCTGTTTATGTGCTATTAACAGAATTTCTACACTGTTAAATCTACAGTGTCAAATTTAACCTAATTTAAGTCCACTTCTTCTCCTCAATGTTGTTTTAGTATGATATAATAATATAATATATTGAGTTAAATTAGATTAAATTTGACACTATAGATTTAACAGTGTGTGCAAATAGTTGTAGCATTAATCCAAGATAAGTACTGAAACTGATATGTACGATCACAATAGAGCAATCTTGCAGGTATAGTTAGTCAGAATGCATTTACAATGACGGGTGGTAACATTATGATGAAGCACGATCGGAAAGGCAAACGGGTTTCAATCGGTGCGTGTAACTCCAAACGTCGCGCAATGCGAGGCACGACGCGCAACCGGTTCGTCGGGTCAGTAACTGTCATTGTCAGGGTCGAGCCCGGCATGCTGTTCGCAATAGACGCATTGTCGAGGCATGTAATTTGGCTTCCGCGAATAATACGATGCGCCATGCAGCGTGTGACACGACGTTTATTGCGATTGAACAACCGGTGGATTCGATCCGCATGAAGAACTGGTCGATTCGTGAAGAGAAGTCGGAAGACGATTCCGTTTGTCGAATGAATAATAACAGATTGAGCAAACTTATGCCTTTCGGT